TACGTAACGTAGGGTACCGTACCTAACTAACCTTACGTTACTTAGTTAGTTTAGTTTACGTTAGTTACTATTATCTACTACTTACCTACCCTACCCCACCCACCACATATATATATATATATATATATATATATATATATATATATATATATATATAATCATAACTATTGGATGTGAAATTGGATGGGTACAATTATTTCATTGACCAAACTTAAACTTCAAAATTTTTTTTTTCAAACTTTATGACACATCCAAGCTATTAAATTTCACATCAGATGGTTGTAAGTAATTGTGACCACTTTGTATCAAAGGTAAATAGTTTCATTGCATACAATCCCATATTTTAATGTATCCTATTAGGCCATCTATTAAAAAGTCACAATCATCTCTAATTATTGGATTTGAGATTTGGATTGAAATTTTTCTATTGAGGATTGTGCATAATCAATGGTATACCCCTAGTCACATTGGATAGCTAGTAATAAGTGCGACCTTTTAAATGGTCTCATCTTATACTTTCTCGTTTTTCTAATAAGGATTGAAGGTGCCACTCACATTGATAAAAAAACGTTCAAAAGCGTGATGTAAAAATCACGTTCATGTTTGGTTAAAAAACATAAGAGTTAAGTAGTTCGAAATCAGAAAAAATTCACTACTTACTTACTTAACCTTTCCAAAAACCCTTCCTGTCAACGCCTCTCTTTCCCATTCTTTCTCACCTTCCTTTTCTCTCTCTCTCTGCCTTTGATTCTCTTTTCTCATGCTTTGATCCTAGTCGTCGATTTCTCTCAACCATCTCTTCTCTTCCTACCCTTGATTCTCTCTTCTCATGCTTTGATCCTAGTCGTCCATTTCTCTCTCACCAATCTCTTCTCTCCCTACCCTTGATTCTCTCTTCTCATGCTTTGGCCGACTGCAAAGATTTGGACACGGCCGCCTGGCCCTGCTAACCAAATGTTGTTGTTGTTGTTAATGTTATTAAAAAAAAAGGAGGCAGAGGAGAAAAAAAACAATGCAAACAGAATTTGGAGTTTTCTCTGAAAATTTCCCTTACCTTGTAAGCATTTCTTACAACCACCTTTGGTCCTGTAAAAGGTTTATACATTGGATTAAACAAATGTCCTCATTTTTATTTTTACTTTTTTGGGGTAACTTAGTGGGGAAGCTATTAGTGGGGTGGTGTTAGTGGTTGGAATGAAAAACACAACCAATGTCCTCATTGTATAAAGCTAACATCAATCACCGCAAATGAGCTAGCTCTATTTTATATTTTCATAGTAAATACGAGGAATATTTTACCTTCTTATGGGGGTGTGGTGAAAACCACAACTAGGTGACTAGGATTAAACCAATGTCCTCATTTGTATAAAGCCAACATCAATGACAGACTGGTAAATGAGCTCTATTTTCTATTTTCAAAGTAAATATAATTACCCTTTATCCTATCATATTAAACATTGATATATTAAAGCATGGGGCTCTTGGAGGCAGTGACCATTTTCGGCATGCAGTAAAAAAAAATAAACCTTTTCGGTAGCAAGATTGATTTTTTGTTGAGATTTTTGTTTTCTAGTATTAGAGACTACACATACACATAAATGTCTAGAATATGCCTGATTCAACTGATCGATATCATAAGCATCTGTGTATATGAGATACATAGGAACACATAACTGCAGGATAATAGCGAGTTAAGAAATTACAAATCCTAATTACCAAAGAAGGGAACATTTTTCCAATTCTATTTTTACATTGTACAGAAACTTATTTGCATGGAGTGACCTCACAGCTACAGGGTTCTTGCTTCTTAGCTCAAAGATTAGGGTCGTCAAGATAATCTTTCAAAGAAAAAAATACATAAATATGCCATAATTCCTCAAAATTTTACTGTAAAATCCTACTGCCACTGCCAGTTCCATTCAATAGGAAACATCGTCTAAGCTTCGATCTCGTATGTGTAACGGCAGGGAGGGTGTGGTCATCAGAAACATCTGCTTCCTGTAGAGATATAAATATGAGTAAAGAAGGGGAAAAATGGAGAAGGAGATAATTGGAAGAGGAGTAAAGAGGAGGATATAGCAAAGGGAGTTGCCAATACCTGTAAGAGATGGAAGATGTCACGCAACAACCGTGAATCGCTCTCAGGTGCGGTGTCCATTGCATCACGTTTGATTAGATAAGACAATCCGCATTGGAGCATGCTCCGGATACCATAGCGTGTGAGAACCTGATCCCTTTTATTCCACCAATCAAACACATTGAATAATCAGGTATACAGAGTTATTTGACTCCCTAGACAAATGAATCTTTCATGAGTTTGGCGTTCTTTTGAAGAAGTTGAATGACAAAACAATCATCATCTTTCAATAATCGAATTCCTATCAGATGGATGATAGGGATATCAGAATCATAAACTATGATTGAGGTTTTAAGCTTTTAGCACTTGTGCTATACCTGAAGCAAATGACCCCTTTATCATAGATTGCTGGTGTTGCTGACCAAGTCATTGGCCTGTGTAAGAGACAGGAAACTCAAAACATATTTTTGTTTTCCTTTTCGACAAATGAAACACAGAACAGCACGATATACCAAAGACATTTTAAAGATCATAAATCCTATAAGTAACAAATCTAGAACAAATTATACAAGGAATCAGTCAGGGAGGTCTTGACTCCGATAGAAAGTGGGATAATTGCTAGCTCACGGTTGCAGTAGTGATCGGCTAATTGAAATTCACCAGGATTTTATTATTTATTCATCACGGCACTCTCTAGATGTTGCAGCTAATGTTACAAGACATTATTGGAAAAGAAATGAGTATCAAATTAACGTATGAATCTGAGATGCACAAGGAATCAAAGCGCAGACCTCGCTCTCTCAACCATGACTTCATAATTGAGATCACGACAAAGCGCAGATACCAAAAGCAGCCACTGCTTATACTGACTCCAAAGATCCAGAACAAGGGACCAAGACGCCTTCCCTACTGGACCTCCAACAGAATCAAGAAAGCCAGGATCAAATACTTGACCACCAAAATTTGAACTAGCTGTGCTACCACACTGTGTACTTGAAAAACACCTGCTCCTCCAAGAAGAAGAATGCGAGATGTCTTTGTAAGAGAATGACCATGATGCATTCATCTCTGTTGTCATTGCGTAATTAGATCCTATTTCATGCATAATATCCCTTCCAAATTTGGCGGGTATTTGTTCAGCAAGAATGTCGGCCCGCTCTGAGAAAACCGAAGCAATAACTTCGTAAGTGACTACCCAATTGTGAGAGGTCATCTTGCGAATGAGGGAAGACACCGGTTTCACAGTATGCTGAAATGGAGACGGATCCCCATCGTTAACATCCCACCAAGAACTGAGGGAAGATTTGATGTGATCGGAGACTCTTGAGAAGTAGGAGCATTTTTGCAGCAACCGACTCCCCAAGAAAGAGCTCTTGACAGAAATCAACCTGAGATAGAAAAGAGAAATTGAAAATTTTGAGAGAAACTGAAAAAAGCATCCATATCTAAAATCGAAAAAGGAAAAAGGAAATCTTCACAAAAGTGGGAGATAGAAGAATTGGTAATTAATAAAAGCATGCATAATAGCCGCTTTTCGTGTTCGTGGTGGGCAACTCCTACCTGGAGTTGGAGGTGGGGGTACGGAATCGGAGCCAGGCATGGTCATTGGAGGAGGCGAGATGGTGGAGGGAGCGGCAGGTTTGCATGAGAGAGAAGACATCACGCAGCGAGGTAAGTGAGAGGATATGGAACCAGCATTCCAATGGGAGAACCCTCACAATCCTCGATTCTTCAACTCGTTCCTCCTCACTCTCAAAAGAGGTTCGAGGGCGGCGTTTGGTAGGGGGATTGATTACTTCAAATGAAGAAGACGAAGAAGAATTAGGGTTGGGGTTTATAGGGGGATTTATCGATTCAGTTGAGGAAGAGCAGGAAGAAGACTTAGGGTTAGAATTGATAGGGGGATTGATCATTTCAGGTGAGGAAGAAGAGTGAGGGTGGTGCTTGAGAGGGTAGTCTTTCGTGGTTTGGGGGGAGAAATTAAGTTCCCAACCAGGGAACTGAAAGGAGATGAGGCATGATGGGGAAGGAACATCATCGTTTTGAGGACGATTAGGGTTAGGGTTAGGGTTGTTATTTGAGGAGTTGGGATGAAAGACAGGGTTTTTGGGGCGGGAAAAAGTGGCTTCGAGCATCTGCTCCCACTCCTCCTCTTCTTTTTCCTCCTCTTTCTTCATCTCTCTCCCTCCTTCAATTCGAATGGACGGAATCGAATGGTGTCTCTCTCTCTTTTAAAGCCCAATTCCCACTGCTTTGCAGTCTTCCTTTGGGGGGGCATGACGTGGCACCTCCTCCCCTGTATGGGACAAGTACGACGTTTACATCAATGGGGTTGGGTCTTTATACTGTGGAAATATAACGTGCTTTTAAATTTGGAAAATTTCCGACGCCACGCCTATCTCAAAAATTTCACGTGTTTGATTTTTCGAAAATGTGGTTCCCTGGAACCATCGGTATCCACCTTTTAGCTTTAAATACAAGGCAAGTGAAAATCGTGCTATCCACTTCACTCGAAAACTTCCTCACTATTAAACAGAGAAATGATACAATACTGGAGGATACAGTTTCCAAAACCAAAAATTTCCAGAAATCAAACATGCCCTAAGGAAAAAAGGTTATATAAAGCTTAGGCTCTCAACAACAGATTATAGCCTACCTCAAAAATTATACTAGAAGAGGTTGTTTTGATGCCCGAATATCCTCATCTCAACGTCAAGATGTACAGACATGAGAAAAAAATAGAATTCAAGTTTGAGAAAGGAGTGTATATTGTAATGCATTTTTGGACCATCAATTTTTAAGTTTTCATAAATCTGCTTGATCTACACTATGTTTGAAGCTTTAAATTTTATAATTAAAGATGAAAATATAGTTTACAGCTTTCACAAAGATTTCCAATATTGAAACAACATTTCTCGACATTATTTGAAGGTGGGTTCTAATTTGATTGTTTTGAGCGTAGGTTCTATACAAACCGCATCCTTTCACTAAAAGAGGTTGTTTTGATACCCAAATATCCGCAAATTGATCATCTCCGCGTCAAGATGCATGGACATGAGAAAAAAATGGGTTTCAAGTTTTAAAATAGTACATCTTGTAACGCATTTTTGGACCGTTAATTTTCAAGATTTTCAACTTTTCATAGATCTACTTGATCTACAGTTTTTTTTAAAGCTTTACATTTTGTAATTAAAAATAAAATATATTTTAAAACTATCACAAAGATTTTCAGTATTGAAACTATATTTCTCAATATTATTTTAAGGTGAGCTTTATTTTGATTGTTTAGAGCCTCGGCCCTATACAAAGTACATCCCGTAAATTTTATTTGGACATATGATTTTAGTATCGCTTGAAATATTTTAGCCACTAGGATTATAAAATTGAACTTTAAAAAGATGGTATATATATATAGAAATGAGTGACTCTTAAAAATCTATTTTTGAGATGGATTTTTTGACCTAAGTTTTAAAGACGTAATCTCTAATATGGAGATTATGAATATAAAAAAGACGCGGTTGGCATGCAACCAAGCCCGCACACGTAGAAATGCGAGCTTGATAATAAACATATTTTTTAAATATAATTTAATCCTAATTTTTAGAGAATATATAACCTCTAATATAGAGATCATGAATATGAAAAAATAAATACATTTTAAAAATTAAAAATAATAATTATATTAAGAAAACACTTGGACCGTTGGTTACAATTGTTTTTAGATGGACCACCTATTCGCATCCATCTTTAAGATGGATGCTCTACAACTTTGGACCACATATTGTAGAAATGTGGTCCAACAACATGAAACAATTGTCCTACAAAAAAACACAAAAAAATAAAAATAATGATTTTATGACAAAACATTTGAATGGTTAGTTTCAATTGTTTTTAGATGGACCACCTATTTGCATCCATCTTTAAGATGGGTGCTTTATACCTTGAGACGCATATTGTAGAAATGCAAGCACACATGAAACAATTATCATATATATATAAAGAAAGTATATAAAGAGGCCATTTACTTTTGGTATAAGATGATCACAATTAATCTTAACCATTGGATGTGAAATTAGGTAGTTGTATTTATCTCATTGGTTAAGTTCAAAGTTCTCAAGAAATTTTCTTTAACTTCGTGGCACACCTAGATTTCACATCATATGGTTGTAAGTAATTGTGACCTCTTGTATCAAAGATAAATGGTCTCATTGTATACAATATATATAAATATTTGAAAATTTTAAAATAGATGATCCATATAACTTGCAATAAAATGCATTATCTTTTAGACTTGAAATATTTTTTTTTCTTTGTATCCATGGTTGAGATAATCGATTAGATAGTTTTCCAACTTTAAAACACCCTTTTCTACTCAAGTTTTTAGGTGCACCTTACTTTTAAACCGTATATAAACTTTCTTTTTAAATTACAATACTTTACTTTTTTTGGGAAAATTACGTATATATATGTTATATTTATCATATATACACTTATATCAATTTTTTCACCATTGTAACGATTTTTTTAAAAAAAGAGAGTTTTGGCCATTTTCGTTTTTTCAAAAAACCGAAATGATAACTGAATTTCTCTTCCTCTCTTTTTACGATAAGCCCACGTCAAAAAATGGGAGAAAGAAAGGTAAGGAGACCCTTTATTGTAAGGTTCCATGATTTGATTGAAAACATTTGCAAAAAGCAATTACTTCAGTCCAAATAGTTTAATGTATGAAACAAGCCACCAGATACTTCTGCCACACCAACGTGAAATAAAAAAACATTAAAAAAACAAAGCCACTGTCATCATGAGGCAAAAAAACATGAAAGAAACGCACAAAATTCCACATGAGGCACTTGAATCAATGTAAAGGGGCAGTGCGACAAAGTCAATTAGCTGGTGAGCAGAAAAAAAACATGAACAAGAAATATATGAATAAGAAAGTGTACCGTAAAGACCATTTACGGTGGTACAAAAAGTCACAATCACCCCTAACCATTATACGTGATATTGATGAGTCAGATCTGCATCATTGACTATGTTCAAAATCCAAGAAATGATACCCCAGCCCTCTGATTTTACACTCTCAGGGCTTGGGGTTTTTGTGACCTTTATGCATTAAAGGCAATAGTCTCATTGCACAGAATCCTTATATGAAGTATATGCCATACGAAATATATGAAGAAGTAGAAATTTTTGCATTCAAATTACTTCCATATGGAAATGTGAAAGCCAGATTCTTGTTGAGAACAAAGAGTTAATTATACAGAGGATAACTGGGCTATCCAAAAAAATGATAAATGGCTACCAACAAGAATATAGACTTGATTTGTATCAGCTCATTGAATGAATGGAAGTTCTAGCCTATGAGGCTGAACTTATTGACTGCCTTGGTGGATGTCGATGTCGTCAAAGCAGTCATCGATGAGAATTTGAAGAAATCACTCGGAAGTGTTATGCCCGCCCAAGCATCCTTCAACAGCAATCATTCACCCACCTTGAAATCCCTACTGACGGGTACAAACAAGAACTCAGAACGATAATATGCTCTTACCAAATTGAGGAACTAAAAACATATCTAGAACTGGAATAACATCCAAGGCTGTGGAAGCCGGAGGACTTTTGACCAATGTGGTAAGAAGAAACTGTTTTGTCTTTGTGTAAATCCCTTACATAGCTATGGTACGAAACAATAAATAAGTAAGCCTCGTTGGAAATGACAGTGATTTATAATAAAATTATTTATCCACTCCATCAAAAGTGTTCCCCTAATACTTTATCCACTCCTATGCAATATAGGTTACAGGCTCATTAAGAGTTTATGAAAACTCAAAGTTCTTCAATTTAAAGGGGATCTGCAGTAAGAACATCCATAAGGAATAGGCTATACTTTCTTAGTGCATGAACCCAACGATTGAAATGATTTGCCCATTGAATTTGCAAGGATGAGTTCCCACCATTGGTTTAAGCCTTACCCCTCTTGATGTTTATAGTACGATTTCCCTTGCACTGCCTTTTGATCTGCTATACTTTCCTTTGAATTGACATATTCCACAGAAAGGATATCATCTTTCAACAATAGCTTTATGAGATTCTGTCCCAAAAGACATCAATTCCCAGTTATACATCTTGCTTCCTGCAGCAAACAAGGCTGTGTAGTTATCACAATACAATGTGATTGACGGGACTAGCTTACCCCCCTATGGATTAGCTCTTAGTAAGTTCTAAAGCCATTCGTCCTTGCCAGTAACGCTCTGAGTTCATAGGGCTGTATGCATGCCTATTTCTTTGATCTCCAAGACACTGTGGCTTCTCCAAGAGTGAAAATCTATCCATTCCTAAACATAAATTCATTTGAATCTTTATTTAAATTAGTATCATTGTCTCCCTCCACCACAGCAGGTTACTCCATGTAATCCACAAACACCAATATGCTTAACATATATCAATAATCTGTATATTGTATCATGATGATCATGACTAGGATTATGATGCAATAGAGATAGGCTACTACCTTTATAAGGACTAAGATGCACACTAGGAACATCGGGAGTACAAGCACGTTTGTAGTCAAAATAAATAAGTTATCTGAGAATCTTTTCTGTACAATGAAACCAAGACAATGCAGTTCCATTCTTAAATCTAACTATTTTGATTCCCAATATGTCGCCATGTCTTTCATGTCAAACCTAGAAAATATGAAATCCTTAACTTCATTTATGATTTCTGTAAGTACCAAAAACAAACATGTCATCTACATACAAGCATATAATTGCTACTGTTTTTCCACTTACTTTATTGTACACACATTTATCTGCATCATCAATTTGAAAACTATAACGTAAAATAAAAGGGATTGTATACAATGAGACCATTTACCTTTTGTACATGGAAGTCACAATTACTTACAACCATCCGATGCGAAATTTGATAGCTTGGATGTGTCACAAAGTTAAAGAAAATTTCTTTTGGACTTTGAGCTTGGTCAATAAAATAACTGCAGCCACCCAATATCACATCCAGTGGTCAAGATCAATTGTGACTACCTTGTACCAAAGGTTAATAGTCTCATTATATACTTTCCCAAACTAAGATCACTTTATCAACTCTTCATGACATTATTATGGAGCTTGTTTCAAGCCATCAATTTATATCCTTTGTTTCTCATGTCCATGCATTATAAAGCTTTCAGGTTGCTTCATATAAACTTTTTTATTTTTTTGACATTATACTCCATATAAATTTACTTAAATAATTCTCCAATTAAAATGCAGTTTTGACATCCATTTAATAAATTTCTAACTCACGAATGCATGCTAAATCAATTACTCCAATAGCAACAATTCAAGAAACCAAAGCATGTGTCAAAATACTCAATGCCTTCTTTCTGTTTGTAACCCTTGGCTACCAATCTATTTGAAATTTGTCAATTGATCCATTTGGCTTTAATTTCTTTTTAAAAATCCATTTCCACACTATTGGTTTCAATGGGGTGGTAAATCTACTGATTTCTAAGTGTTATTAGATAGAGATTCGATCTCATTATCAATAGCATCTCTCCAAAAAGACTCATCTCTAGATTTCGTACATTCGCTATAAGTAGTAGGATCACTCTTAGTTAAATAGATAAAGAAGTCAAGACCTAAAATTCTTTTCTTATGCGAGTCTTTTACTCTTTCTTAGATCCACACTTTCTAGATAACAAGGCTATAATCATGATTAAAATAATCATCATGGTTAATATCTACCACTCTCTCTTTACTCTCTAATTCTGAAGAAAAAATTACTTTAAAAAAATTGTGCAATTTTCTATTCTAATGTTACATCAGAATCTAGATCTGAAAATTTATATACTGCTATTTTGAGCATAATCAACAAATGCATAGCTTGTAGTCTCATAAGGCATGGCCTTAATCTTAGAATAAGGTACTCCATTCAAGAGATTGCATGAGGTCAAATGGCTTCACCTACAAATTATTAGGTAGTAGAAAACTAACAAGCATAAAATAAATGATTTTTACCCATGCAGTATTCTTTCCTTTTACTTCCCCATTTTGTTGTGGAGTGTAAGATGTTGTCACTGGATAAGCAGTACCATATGATTCACAAAAATTAGAAAAAACATGTGATGTGTACTCCCCACCTCTATCACTTCTTAAGAACTTTTAATTTTTGGAAAATTATAAATACCCCCCTTTACTCAACTTTCTAGGCATTGTCCCCTCAAATACATTCTAAACCACATCACAAACCCCAATTTTTTTTTTCCTTTTTTTTTGCATTCACTCTCCCAAGTAAAAAAAGTAACTTTTTTTAATGAAAATAACCCCTTCAAAACATGCGTTTCTCTTTTTCTTTTTTTCCTATTGAAGCCATGGCCAGATGGGTTTCATTATAAAAATGAAGCCTTTATAAACAATGATGCCAGTCCGGCACACATTAGTTTGACCCAATTTACGGGCTTCAATAGGGGGGAGAAAAAAACAAAGAGAAACTTGTGTTTTGAAAGGGTATTTTCATCAAAAAAGAAGTCACTTTTTTACTTTTTTTTTTGGTTTTGTGGGGGTGGGGGATGCTAGAAAGGAAAAAAAAAATAGAAGGTAGTTTTGGGTTATGTGATGTGTTGAAAAAGTATTGGGGGGGGAGGGGGGGGGGGGGGAGGATTTATAATTTTCCCTTAATTTTTCTTTTGGGGTTGAATTATAGTTAACCAAATCATTAGGTTCGAATCATGACTCAGCATTCCCCAGGATGAATTGCGCTTCTCAAAAGATAGGCACGATTCCAAATTTCTCGAATCTTGTTCCAAATAATTTTTTGAATATCGACTCTTGGAAGTAGAGAATCTAGATTCCATCTCACAAAATTTGTGATTCATAGGTGCACAAGATCGGGATTGAACTGTATATGAGACCTTGATCCCAGTTTTAAGGAATAGAGAATCAATATTTTTTGGAAGCTAGATCCACAACGTCAAAACCCAAAGTTTATAGATGACCAAACAATGTTTCGATCAACATGGAGTCGAAGCTCTAATAACACAAAATCAATATTCAAATGCAACTTTGTAGATTTATTGATTTATTAGGAAAGCATGATAGTAATGTCCTTTGCAGGTAAGTGTCAACCAGAATCTTCAACTTTCAACTTGAGCCTTGCGGGTATCGATGGTAAGTACTTAACCAGTTTATCACCCTCCTCACAAAATTAGAAATTGTTTCTCACTTTTGAGAGATCCCAATGTTGAAAGGGTTTTTCAATAAGCGTCTAAGCATAGGGCTGTCGAGGAGCTCAAGGTTCACATCACATAGACTCATTTTCAAGTGAGAAGATGCATAACTTTCTTTCATCATCAAAAGATGCATGAAAAATACATACAATGTAATGGTTTGGTTCCTCACTTTCGATAGACCCTAATGTTGAAAGATTTTACAATAAAGCATTGAAGAATACGGTGCTCTAAGAGCTCCGAGGTCCACATAGCAAAGACTCTTTTCTAGTTAGAAGATGCAGTTCCTTGTTTTGTCCTCAAAATAAGCATGAGAGAGACGACATAATGGTTTTTTTTTTTGTTGAGTAAGTCATAAAGGATCTTGAGAATCAAGACATGGAGCTCAATGCCAAATCGTGAGCCATGATGTGAGAGAACCCAACCTCTCAAGATTTGGCAACTCAACCCTACGAGCTCGGCCTTGTTTTTATTGGTTCTGGATAGCTACTTTAAAGGGCACTCAATATGCCAAGACCATTGTTAGGGGAGGGCTGTCAAAGACATTGATCCAAAATCCAAATAATATGGGATCCCTTGATAATAGTGTTCAACATATATAGTATAAAACTTTATATCTTTTCTCGCTTAAAACTTCTTGCATGGTCTTGAGTGGATTGGTGCCTGACTCCTAAAAGGCAGAAATCTCAATTCCAAATTGATGAGACAACAATTCTAACAATATAGGAATCATGGTTCCTATATTGTTAATGTTTGGGCATAGTAGAATAAATACTTCAAGAGAATATGTTATTTCCAAATTAGTAAATAAGATACAATCAACCATTGGGCTAATTGTACACTGGAGTAGATATTTCTTAAAACTCATTGCTTATCGGCCAGATCCAAGTAGGGGTAATAATTGCCTTAAAGAAAGTGATATGGCTAATGATTAATAGTTTTGTTGATTAATTTCAATAAAACTATTTTAGTACAATTTTGGTCAATTTTAATAGAAAATTATTATGCTCTACATATTATTTGACTTATTTCAGAAAATTATTTTTAATAGAAACCCACAATCTATTACCAACAGTCCTCCCTTGAAATTAGACAATGGTTAGAAGACCAGAATTGATGCACCAAACAAAATCAGATAATGTTTTACACCGATCAAACACAACAGCAACATCCAACAATCTTGGGATCAGTTATGGGTCGGTATGATACAAAGGAGTGTAACAATAATCGCCTTTGGAAATCGAGTAATCTCATCAAAGCTTCTTGTGCTACTATGGCACTCGATGAAGTTGCATCCTACTTGCCTGGTTTGCTTGCATTTGGAAAGCACACAAATGCATCATTGCAGATACCCTTAGCAGTTGGGACTTGGGAGGTGTAAGGCAGGAGCAAGAAGCTCCAAAGAAAAGGCAGAGTTGAACCAACCAACTGAAAGAAGCTTGCTCTCAGAAGACCTAGGACAAAAACGTTGGATTAAACTAGATGCCTATCTAGTTGCATCTGAAGTGGCTTAGTCAAATATTTCAGATACTATGGAAAGAGAGCCAGTCCAAGGATGGGTTTGAGACAGGAAGGCAAGATCTGCCCTTCCAAAGGTAGTTTACATACTTACCCCCAAGGATGTATAATGTGAACTACTGAAACTTCATACAATTTTCCTTTGAATGCTAACTTGGGACAGGTGGGATCGGAAATCTTGACATCGCATTGTAGCTCCATCTACCCTAACCACCATACCAAGAATCCAGTTTCCCCAAAAAAAATGCACGCAGTTGAATAACATATATTACAAGTGAAGTCACAACAAACAACAGCTACCCTGTACTTGTTGGTGATGCAATTTATTCAATAATAAAAAAGAATAAATCATTAGAAAGCGAAAACACGAACAAATGCTAGAAACATGAGCACTATAGGCCAATGTTGAGCAGGCATCTCCTAATTAAGGGGAATTGCTTCTCCAAGAATACTAGAAGGACAACCGAGCCTTAGCAATACAAATGACTTTCCCATTCACTGCAGGAAAAATGTGGGAAAATGAGAAGTAAAGCAATCCATCACCTGGAAACCCTTTGAGGAGATAGATGCCACAAGCCAATCTGTTCTCATTTGAAGAACATCACTCTATGAGCATCAAAAACTTACCCAAGTTTGGTATTACCTTTGCAAGAATGTTGCTGGAATGAGCTCATTGCATATACATACATAAAGAAACCCAAATCCAGCACAAAGGGTCTATAGAATTAGCGCTTGAAAGTCATTTTCCAACATTAACTTCATAAGTATTTGCTTTTAAAAAGCGGAGATTACATAATTTTGCTTTATCTTCTAAAAATCCATTAGTTCTCAGTCAATAAAATACACGGTTTGCCCCCTTGGGTATTTGAATGGGTTTCAATTATGTCTCCTAGCATACATAGTAAACTCTCACCCATCTCATCCCTAAAAAGGCCTAGTACCATGAGAAAAGAAAAAAAGTTAATTTAAAAAAGGAAAAAATAAGCATAAGAATCTGATGGTAACTGCATGTGACTCCGAGTAAAACAATTTTCCCATTAACTAAGCACTTGTATTGCACACTAGCCAGCTGAAAGTAACTTTAGCATAACTGTGAATTGTAAGCGAGAAAGGAAGCCCCCAAGTTGCATGTTATGAAAAAGTCACAAATAAAAACTTCAAGAATTTACAGGGTTTGACACCAAACTCCTAGTTTAAACGAAATAGCACTCTCCCAAATCCATAGCCATAATGGGCAGTCACAAAAAAATGCATTCAGCCCAAATGGAAAGTCTTCAACAGTAATAGGATTATCCTTATTCATGGTGATCACAATCCATCCATCCATGTGAGAAAGACCATTTTACCCCGTCTCATCTCACAAAGGACTACGGCCAGCTCGCCATTTTAACTCGCCAAAAACAAAGAAAATCAAAGAGGCGCAGAGGCATAAATACCTCCTGTTGGTGTTTTTGAGACTTTTGAGTGCACGAGAGGATCCATCATCGATCAAGAAATGGATGAAGAGCTATTCCCATCATAGGATACTGAAATACATATGTAGTGATGGATATAAGTAGCATCGTAACTGTCACTCAAGCGGAACAACAAGAAGCTGACCGACCCAAGCTGAAGAGAGAGAGAGAGAGAGAGAGAGAGAGAACCTGAAGAAGAAAAGAGGGAGAGCAAAGAAAATGGGGATATATTTTCATTTTTTCTTAGAGGAGATCTCTGAAGTGTTGGAGGAGGAGGAAGCGGAGGAGAAGAGGGTGCTGAAGTTGGCGGAGAGGCGGGAGTAGAGGGATAGGACCTTTGATATATTGGCGTTGATCTGTCGGATGAGGGCGACGTTCTTTGTTAGGTTTTCAGGGAGCCTGGAGCTGTGGTTGTCATTGACCTGAGAAATGAGGAGCCTGTTCTCCTCAAGAACCCCCTGCACCTCCCTGAACCCACTGCTGAATGCCTCCCATGCCCTCTCTCTCGCCTCCTCCTCCACACCACCACCACCACCCTGTCTCTCCTCCTCCGCCTCTGTTCCCCTCTCTTCCCAACATAAATCATCATCGCCCTCCATCAAGCTCGTGCTCAAACTGGCCTCACCTACGGAGCACCACCCACGCGACCTTGTCATCAATTCACAACAAAACAACTCTCTCTCTCTCCGACTTGTATTTTTTGAGTTAAGGACCCTTAAAAAGTCAAACCATTTTTTATTTACGGGGGAAATTAACGTTATTTTCTACTTTCCCGCGTACCAACTCATTATTTTTTCACTTTATTAACTCCAATACTATGTTTCTTACATTCCTCACATTTCTCTCCCAAAAAATGTGATGTCTAAAATGTGTCAATCCTGCATAAAAATGTGTCGACTGGCTTTTGATCTTCAAAATGTGCCAGTTCAGCACATGAATATGTGCTAGTTTGATATAAAATGTGTTATTGATAAATCAATTGAGGGTGTACTTGAAGGTTTATTGATCATCCCAACACATTTTGTGCCGGGTCACCTTAAAGAGAGAAACTAAAAGATTGATAAGAAAAAGAGTAACATGGATTAAAATAAAACATATTTTGGTTAAAAAAATTACATTTTTTACTTACAGGTGGGCGCAAGAATAAACAGTATTAGGGAGACACCAGTTTGTCTAGGTGATACAACTCTACAATACACCATACCATGCACTATTGTTCTCATAGGTTCTTATGCTCCGTCTCAAATGGCTACCAACATATCATGGCATTGGTAATTCACCATTAAATCATTTGAAATTTGGAATGATGACCAATTCTCGCATTTCAGGTGAATGAACTTCTAATATTCAAACTAACTAAGGAGATAGCATTAGGGTTTTTCAGGTACAGTACATATATATATTTATATATATATCCTGTCAACCTACGGATTGACAAATACAATATCAACTAACGGCGTAGATTGAATCTAGACCCAATCCAATGATCTCGACTTCATTTCGTATTTAAATTTTCATTTTCTTTATACAAATCCAAATCACTTGAAATTTTGAATATCTATTCTTAAAAACTAATAGAATCTAATAAAAACAATAAAAAAAAATTCGAAAATAAAATTGACCAAAATACCCCAAAAACTTTTCAAAGGTATTTTGATCAATTTATATTTTACAAATTTTATTTTATTTATTAAGTACATCTTGATGAGTAGAATGTACGCCTAAATTTTCAAGTAATTTGAATTTATAGAAAAAAATAAAAATTCAAATACGAAATAAGATTGTGACCGTCAGATCGGCTCAAATTCAATCTGGATCATTGGTTGACCTGTAGCAGCCAGCCCATGGGCAAACTGCATCCATTCTCATATATATATATATATATACAAAGAGAGCATTTACTTTTAGTAAAAGAGATCACAGTCACTCTTGTCCATCAGATTTCAATTTAATACAAGGAGATCACAGTCACTATAACATAGTAGTACTACTACTACTACTAATAAGAATAATAATTGCATTTCCATAAAACTAATCAACAAAAAGAAATTTTCCAAGGTATTTACGATATTATGATGGGTTTCCAGTATCAAAGGCTGGAGTAATGGCATCTCTTGAAGTTTGAAACAGCATTTCTGGCCCTCTCCTTCCCAATGCATAATTTACATTTGATATTTTACATTTGCTGAAGCATGGGCTGCTTCCCCATGTATTCAGAATCCAGAGCATTCTGCTACGAGCTCTGCATTTCAAATATAGGATTACAACATATTCTGAAAGATCAGATAGCAATTCCCCTTAAATACACTTCATACTCTGAATCATTATCTGACCCTTCAAAACTCAAGTCCTTCACCCCCTCTAATCTAATAACTATTGTTCCAACGTTTTCTTCTTCCCATCCAATGCCTTCCTTCTGCAAAAGGTTGATGACCTGAGACAACAACGTTCTAGAGAGTTAGATAATGTTCAAAACATGGACATCATGTCTTGAGTAACTAAACGCGCAAACAAGAACAATAAAATCACAAAATAACAGTGCCCTGCTTGTTGTGTTGCTCCAAGTCTCTCAGCTATGACTGCGCATTAGTAAATACCTGGATAACTCATTAGAATCAGACGAGTATCTCATTTACCAAAATTAGAAACACTGTTATCTTATCCTACAAAAAGGCACCAAGAAAAAGAAGGAACGAAAATGTGATATTATGTATCTCAAGAATTGCAAATTTATGTTCACTCTGTATATTTTGATATGCAGGTATTGTATCCTTAAACCAGCTGCATATTTTCATGGAAAGGAATGCCCATACGGTAAATGGCCATGCCCCATGTTCTCCAGGTTAATTGAACACCATATGAAAAAATTCAACCTCTAAAAATTACCATTGCTCATACACTTGGGCATGGCCAACAAGCAAATAACAGTAATCAATAATAGTCTTCAGTGATGCCAAAGAACAATGGTTTAAAGGAACCCTCACTGATTGTTTTATCCCCCTAGCAACACCTTGTGCAGCTCTCCCTGTGATAATCCTAAGACGCTGAATTACTAAGAGAAAGAACAGATAAGTCAGCATATAGTTCAAAATCTATCATAATAATATCAATCAAGTTCAGAACGTGATGTCTCTATGGAAGAGCATTCTAATATCATAACATATTGATATAATTACCTGGAGTGCAAGTGAACAATGTGATATGAAATTTTAAAATCCTCAATGCTTCTTTAACATGTTGGCCATGTAAATCAATTGTGACTTCATTTTGGACTCCCTTGTTTCTGCAAATTCATTGATGATCAGAATCATTACCTTTAGAGCATCCTATAACAAAATATCGACATAGTCATGCGCAGATATAGACACATGAATAAAATAGAAGTATGCAAATATAAGACTTGAACACCCGTGAAGTAAATGATAAATGTATCCAAGGTATATAACCTGAGCTCGAAGATCCTCTTGCTAGCACTTTCTTCTGCTTTGCGGGCCATTCTTTTGCATGCTCTCCCCTAAGAACACAAATTCATAGCATATTAGAATAAATCCTTCTTGAATATGTGAACTAGTCAATAAAGGACAGCAACATTTTAGCTGTCAATTCAAATGACAAATACAACTGCTAAGCCATACTTGAGCTCCTTAATTGTTTTCCAGACTAAAATACAACGGTACTGGGAATAGTGCCATGAACAGAGCTGCTCACAGTACTGTTCACATGGTATCAGAGCAGATCTGAATTGATCTTCTCCTTTCAATGAACTTAAAAAAAGAAAAAGAAAAAAAAAAGAGAGAAGAAGTGAAGAAGGGGAACCTATAATCGCGTCAGGTGCTGATCTCATCAAGCGATATCCTGTTTTTTGCGTGTGCATGGCCAATGTGATGGCCTGTGCTGTGAATGTTTATGTTGCTGAAGTTTTCTCTCTTTCATGTAAAAAACAAGAGGAAGAGTTGCTGAAATTGTCTCAAAGTGTGTAGTTGAAGCAAAATAGGTAAACCTGTTGGGGATCATCGATGCCTGAATGGTAAATTTTCTCTTCCTAAGTGATTGAAAATTGTTATATGTGCAGTCCTTTGCCTTGAAAATTTATAAAGTTGAATTTAGTGTTTTAATGCTCCCAATTGTGCTCGGCCTGATATATTCTTGCATACCTTTTCTGTGTGTTATTATCTTTCCCTATGGCTGAAGAAAGTGAGCTCGAAATTTCCAACATTGGTGACATGATAGGATTCCGGCAACCAATGAGAAATTAAATGGGCCTAATTACCTCCCAGTCTATAAAGGTATTTCTAGGTGCAAGGGGAAAGAAAAAGTTCTGACTAAAGATGGACAAAAGAGTTAGATAATGGATATGAGGAGTGGCTTAAGGAAAACTATCAAATTATGACTTGGTTATGGAATAATATGGAACCCCATGTGAGAGCTAAATGTCGTGTTTTTTTATACTGCCAAGGAGGTGTGGGAGGCAATATATGAGATGTCTTTATGAGGGCATGTTTCTTTTACAGCAAGGTGATATAAGTCTTAGTGACTGTTACAGTACTCCTCGAGGTATGTGGGAAGAGTTAAAAATGTATCAACCTCTGTCAAATGACTTCTAAAGAAGCAAAAGAAAGAATTTAGAGTTGCAAAATTCTTTTCCGGCCTTGGTTCTGAGTATCATTCTATTTGTGCCCCATATTTTAGTTAGCAGTAAACTTCCTTCTCTCAACAATGTGTACTCACGCCTTCAACGGGGTACTTTATCAACTGCCAGTACGAGTGATGGATCTGCTTTGACTTCCACAATTGGCAAAGTTGACAGTAGGGGCCATGGTGGTGGTAACAAAGGATGTGGCCGTGATTCAAGGGGAGGTAGTGGTAGACGCCGAGGAAACATGATGTGCACCCACTATGGACGGACCAATCATACGGCTGAAAAATGTTGGGATAAGTTTGGTAAGCCCGCTTGGGCTAATCAAGCAGCTTATGTTTTTGAGAGTGATGAAATACATATAGTGGGCTCCAGTAATCATAGTCAGGCTCTTAATTCTACTCGTGATTTAGTTTCTCTCGCATGATAAGTTAATCAGGAATAGTCAACAGCCACCTACTCATCCTCTTCCACTACCACTCTAGCAAATACAAGTACTTCTGCATTTCTTGCGTCTCAGAGGCCATCTCCCTCGATCATTAATTCAGGAGCCTCTGATCATATGACTGGTGAGTCTTATGTGTTTTCTTCTCTCAATCAATTAGATTCAACTGCTTATGTTACATTGGTTGATGGTTCTTTATCTAGTATGTCTGGGAAAGGCATTGTTTTTGTCCTACTTAACTCTCATTTTCATATGTTCTCTACATTCCAAAGTTTCCATTTAGTTTGTTGTCATTTAGTAAATTAACGAAATCTCTTCAATGTTCAGTGACTTTCTATCCTTCACATTGTGTTTTTCAGAATCTAAAAATGAAGAAGATGGTTGGTGGTGGTTGTGAGTTTAAAGGACTCTACTATCTTGATCTTAGTCTTGTTCATTCCAGTGTTTCTCCCCTTCAATGGCATTGTTGGCTTGGTCATCCATCTATTAATAATCTAAGGTTGTTAGTTCCTTCATTAAAGCCTTTGTCAACCCTAGAGTGTGAGGCTTGTAAGTTAAGCAAACATCATAGGATTTCCTTCCAAATGAATATCAGTTCCTTTTGCAGTTGTTCATTCAGATATTTGGGGTCCTGCTAAAATTCAGAATCTGTCTGGTCACAGATGTTTTTTAATTTCTGTGGATCATTTCTCTTGAATGACCTGGATCTATTTAATGAAAGATAGATCTGAAGCATTGTCTATTTTTCAATTGTTTTATTGAGAAATTCAAACTCAGTTGGAACGTATATTAGCATTCTGTGGTCAAATAATGCTTGAGAATACTTATCCAAAGATTTTCAGAAATTTAACCACACATGATAATATGGTATTTGGCATCAAACATCATGTGCACACACCCCTCAACAGTATGGGTTAGCTGAGAGGAAAATTCATCATATAATAGAAATGACTCGTGCTTTGTTGTTAAATATGCATGTGCCAAAAATTTATTGGTGAGATGCTATATTGACTGCTTGTTATTTGATAAATCACATGCCTTGCTTTGTTTTATAGGGAAAATCACCATAGTCTTTACTCTTTCCTGATAGACCTTTATTTAGCTCCTCGAATTTTTGGGTGTGCGTGTTTTGTTCATGTTCTGGGCCCTAGTATTGACAAACAAATTAGATCATCGATCTGTTAAGTGTGTGTTTTTAGGATATTTTCATACACAAAAGGTTACGGAAGCTATCATCATGGTTTGAAGAAAAAGTTTGTTTGTGCAGACATTACCTTTTTTTAGAATACTCCATACTTTTCTGATGAAGGGAAAATGATTGAAATTGACTCAAGGGACCTAATTCAAGTAGAGAATTTGAATGATGGAAAGTTCATTCCTTCTTCCTCTTCTATTCCCATTCCTATCCCGGTTCCTATTTCTTTTGATGACCCTCTTGCAACACCTCAAGCATCCACTCATGAAGAGTCCATCTTTCCTCCTATTTCTAATGTTCCACAAGTGCAGCCCTACAAAGCATATACAAGAAAGAAAAGTAAAGGAAGTGTCATCATCACTAGCTCCAATCAATCAATCTTCATCTTCGTCTTTGGATCCTATTTTTGTTCTAGAACCCACTCCTGGGTATGATAATGTTGATCTTCCCATAGCACTTCGTAAAGGTCAGCGATCCTGTACTAGACATCCAATTGCCCATTTTGTTACATTCGAAAAACTGTCTTCTTCCAATAGGAATTGTGCCTTTCACATACTGGATAAAGCTCTTTCACATACTGGATAGAAGGAAGTAATGAATGACGAAATGGTTGCACTTCAATCAAATGGCACGTGGGAGCTTACTGATCTGTCGGAAGGAAAGAGACCGGTTGGATGTCATTGGGTGTACACAGTTAAATTTGAGCCAGATGAATCTGTGGAGAGGTTAAAAGCTAGGCTAGTGGCCAAGGGGTATACACAAACCTTTAAGTATCGACTATTCTGAGACATTTGGACCAGTAGCCAAGCTTAATTCAGTCCAAGTGCTTATATCTGCAGCAACAAATAAGGGGGCAACTTGATGTTAGGAACGCCTTTCTTCATGGTGATCTACAAGAAGAGATGTATATGGAGCAACCACTAGGGTTTGTTGCTCAGGGGAAGTCAAACAAAGTATGTAAGCTGAGGAAAGCACTTTACGGATTGAAGCAATCCCCACATGATTTGAGAAGTTTAGCGAATTTGTTATGGCATATGGGGTTTCGAAGGAGCCATGTGGATCATTCATTATGAATTATTATCTTGGTGGTTTATGTTGATGTATTATTATTACGTGGAGTGATCAAGAAGCAATTAATTAATTGAAAGGTTATCTACGACGGTATGTTCAAACAAATGATTTAGGACAGCTGAGGTACATTCTTGGAATAGAGGCAGCCAGGTCCCAATATGGTATCAGTTCGTCTCAAAAGAACTATGAAATAGATTTGTTGACAGAAACAAGGATGTTGGGTGCTAAGCCAGTTAATACACCTATACATCCAAGTGTTAAACTGTCAAAGGATCACGGAGATTTATTATAAGACCCTAGTAGATATAGAAGGCTTGTAGGAAAACTTATCTACCTAACAATCACTCGGCTAGACATAGACTTCGTTGTGAGTGTAGTGAGTCAGTTTATGGATTCTCCCATAACACCACATTGGGAAGCAGTAAGACAGATTTTGAGATATTTGAAGGGGGCTCCAGGTCGAGGACTCATCTACAGGAAGAACAGGCATTTTTGTATTGACAACTATTATGATGCTGATTGGGCAGGATCTCAATCAGACAGAACATCTATTACAGGCTATTGTACCTTTGTTGGATGAAATTTGGCGACCTAAAAAAGCAAGAAACAAAATGTGAAGCAAGTATAGTGCAGAGGATGAGTATAGAGCAATTGCTCACACTACATGTGAGCTTATGTGGTTGAAAACCTTGATGAAGGAAATGGGGTTCTTGATGTTCTGTGACAATCAGGCAGCCATACATATTGTTAGCAACCCGGTTTTTCATGAGAGAACAAAACATGTCGAGGTTGATTGCCATTTTATTCAAGAGAAAGTGACAAATAGGTAGATAACAACTCCATAGGTGAAGTTGAAGGATCAATTGGCTGAGATATTTACCAAGGCTCTTGGTCGTAACTAGACTCAGCATATTTGTTCCAAGCTGAGTATGGGTGATATATGTGCTCCAGCTTGAGGGGGATTGTTAAAGATTAAATCATTATGTGGTTATGAGTGTTGAATGTAGTATGTGGTATCTTTGTCCTTTTTATAAACTTTAAGACATTAGTTTTAACTAATGTACTTAAAGGGCATTTCTGTAATATTATCATCCAGTTATTATAAATAAAGTTTAAGAGGTGAAATGTGGGCTATGCAATTAATCTGC